GGTTCCCTTTATATATATATGTGTGTGTGTGTGTATAAGTGTGTGTACACAAGAGATCAAGCATGAAGGTGTACACATCTGTGTGTGCATATGTTTATCTGCTAAGGAGCATATTCCAATGTCTGCTTTCAGTTATTGAGTGTGTCGCTGTGTGTTCCTGCAGATTAGGGTAGTTAAGAGAAAGAAAGTAGGCATGACACATTTATTTGCAGACCTATGACCTGTGAAGTTTGCTTTAAAAAAATTATATAAATAATAAAAACCTAGCACTATGTTGAGGCACTTTTCCTGTTTATTACAATGACAAATACTGCAGGCATCCCAATGATTATGCTCTGAAGCTGTTTCCTGAGAGAGAGGCAGGACATGACCCAGACATCTTTCTAAATAATTGATCTGTGTTCAGTATTTTTTATATTAAATGTACAAAACTCAGCAGGATTGCCCCAGTAACAGCAAGTTTGTGAACTTCACAGACATCCCCCTAAATGGATGGTGGAAACTAGGCCAAAAAAAAGCAGAATACACACTCACTCGGACACACACACATTAACATTTAAACATATTTATGCTGATGCATTAAAACAAAGTACACTTTAATTATAGCAGATTAAAATGCAATGCTGGAAATACCGTATCCATCCATTTGGAAAATGATGAGTACTCATTTCAAAGTATGTAAACACTCATTATTTACAGACACACACTAGCACATCACCTGTTATGTTAATGTAGATGAACCCTACATATTTAATGCAAATGTATTTAAGATGTTATGCTCTTTTTAAGTAGTCTATATTGTGGCTGGTTCACTAACCTCAGCACACTAGTAGACTGTGGGGTAAAGAGTCGTGGTGAAGCAACACTCAGCATGCCTGATGGTGATGTTTCATGTCTTTTTAACGGTTACTAAATTATTATTTACTTAATTCTGTTGTATGGTAATGTTTCTTAGTCGACGGTGGTTGTCTTTGTCGTGGATCCGATATCTTTACATTCAGCACATTAGAATAAAACCCAATTGAAACGCAGACACACTGGTGATTGAACTTAAGGTTTTATATTGGGTACAGCACTATGAAAGACCACATTTCCTCCTTCTGTACTGTTCCCTATAGTAAATGCAGTAAAACATCCTAATAGATTAAGACAGCCTACCATACAGTTCTCAAATTTGAGTGTCCACATTTTGGAGGAGGTCATAGCGTCCACAACAAATATGAGATAAAAAAGAAAATCTCCTCCACATGGATAAAGTCAGCAGTTACACGCTAACAACTGTTATATATATGTTAAACACAACCTATAATTATCCTTCCTTTTCTTGTGATCATGGCATTTAGTGCTCTCAGTGACTATAGTGGTGGTAACATGAAGTTATTTAGCTGCAAAGCGTCCTAGGAAGCAATCTGGGGTGGAGTGCTGGAGCAAATAAAGTGCCTGACTTTGATTAAGCCTGTAGTTCACATCCTGTCTCCTAACAGTTCACTTGACCATAATCACATGTTATACCAATGCGTCACACAGGCCATGTTTTGAATCCTTATTATCCCATGAAAGTGGCAGATCAGAAAATGTTGGGATGTAGGTTATTTTCGAGGGTCGTGACAAACAATCTATATTTGTCATTAAAGTATTAGGTGTTGTTACAGGATGATGATGCTGCAAAGGTTCTCTGAAAACAACATTTTGTGTTTTAAAGTGTATGAAATCCATAGAGCCTACAGTAAATCTGTCTTCTTGATGGAAGATGATAGATTTTCTCTTAATGGAAAGTACTTCAAAATGGTTTTTGTTTTATAGTTATATAATAAAGACACATCTTACTAGTTGAGGGAAAGACAATATTTCATGTTTTGTTTTTTCTCCCCATTTATAGCTTAAAATCCACTTTAATGTTAACACACCCATCATTTCCAGAATGTAGCCGCCATGAAAAGAGTATCTTTAAGACCCCTATCAGTGAAACAAAATGCATTTGTCCTTACAGCTCATATCAAATGTTATCATACATTGACAGGAACAACTAAACCCATAAGGGACAAATCAAACTAAATACAAAAGTGTCTGCATCTGTCAGTATGCATGTCTGTCTAGTGCAGCTTTGATGAAACTCCTGATGGCTTCATGACTCTTCTCTTCCTGTATGACTTCTTATTCCCTGCGGCTCCGTTCCTCTCCAATGTCATTTCTCTCCTTCTCTTCTTTCTGTTTTTTTCTCCTCCACACCTCCCAGGGCCGACTGCTGAGGAGCAGCCTTTCTCTGACAGCAGGGAAGAGATGGAGGTGTAGTGCACATATCACACAGATGGCTGTATGTGTGTATTTTGTGGATGTATACAAATAGAGAGACTCGATGGAAGATGGGGAAACACACGGCCACACTTTTCCTTTAGTAATTACATTTTGGTTTAATTTGATTAAACATCCGTAGAGCACATTTAAAAACAACAAATGTTTTGCAGATCAGATTGTTTTTTTATATAGATAAATAAATGATTGAAGGATTAAACCACACTACTATCATAGGTTTATGATGCTACTATGATTTGTTCATAGCTAGTGAGCAAAACACCAGGCCTCTTGGAATTGCTGGACAAATTGGCAAACAGGCAAGCATTAATACCGTTGCACGGGAAAAAACTGTAAGTTGGAAAATAACTGGAACAAACTCACACATTGTTTTATTTCATCCCAGTCAGATCCAGTTTTGTTTTTTTCATTGTAGCTCCCAACAAATCTTTCACTTCAGTAGTTTCAGTTGTTTCAGATGTGAGAAAACTTTTTGCTGTTTATTTAAATATATACCAAGACAATAACTAACATATTTGCCTTGATAGTAAATCTTGTCTCCACTGAGTCAAAACACTACAACACTGCTGCCCATCTTCACCAGCTGAGAGCAAAGTGAGGTGAGGAGTGACAGCTGAAGTGGGTTGAAATAGAGAGTGTGTTGAAAGAAAGACACAGACAGACAGGTTGATGTGTAATGAGGAGGGCAAAATGTGAGCAAAAATGTAGTTGCATTATGCCTGGGAAAGAGCAAGTCTGAATATAGAAGTCAAAAAGAAATATGGTCCAAACCGAGAAGCAGCTGTTACCATCGTGTAGGGAACACAACTTTAAGATCATCATCAGAGTTTCAAGCCCTTCAGATCCTTATCTGTGTTTTCTCCACAAATCATTCATTCATTCAAAAATGTTTTACCTCTTTTAAATGTTCACTTGGTTTTCCCCCATCTACATTGACATGGAAATGGCTATTCATTTCCACATGTCAGGGATCATTTCCCTCCGTGTTAATCAACACAAAGCCTTTTGTCTTTCTCTCTCTCTCTCTCTACCCCTCTACTTTTACTTTTTCCCTGTTCTTCCTCCAACATCCCTCTCCACTTTGAAAACATCCCACCAATGACAGGTCTGCAACAATCAGTCCTTCTTCACATCAATATCTAATATTCTGCACTGGCAAGAATTTAGCATGAATTATACCACTGCAAGCTATTTGCAATTATAATTAGAGAGCCAGAGAGGATTAATCCACAGTTCATCCCATATCTGATTGCCAATTGTCCCTCGTAAGTAATCAGGGCCAAAAGGTCTTTTAAATGAATGGTCTATTAAGCCTGCTGAGGGTTGTATGCTTCCGCAGAAATTAATCTTAACTTACGCAGTTCTGCTAAAATCAGTGAGCTTTTAAAAAACATACACGTTATTATTGTCTTTTAAGGGTGTCTTTTTAAAATGAGCAACTGCATTTTTTCCCTTTATCTTTACATACACTGATTTATTCCCAGTTCGGTCAGTCGTCTTGTTGTTGTTGCCCTTTGTTGGCCTGTCAAAGATTGACAGCTACCCTTTCTGGCCCATATGAAGTCACCAGCTGCTTCTGTTCACCTGACCCTTCCTTTCACAACATGTCAGCGTTGTGCTAGCATTTTGTAAGCATATGCAACCATCTGTCCAATAAGGGTGGACTCTGAGTTAGTTCCGTTGTGTATCCATGTGGGAGAAAAGAAAGCAGCAAGCATAAGGAAACTTGTCTTTTATGAGCAGTTGCAGTATGCATTGCAACTGAACGACTTAACAGTGAGGCTTTCTTATTTTATGGAGCTATTATGGGCTCATTAGGGATAAACATGTTCATGAGCAAAGACCATCAAATGGAGTGGCCCAATTTCAAAGAATAAAAATAGTTGGCCTCCAAACCCCTGCCAAAGTAGGATCCGTTTATTAAATAGAACTGCAATAGTAGTAAGATTATAGAAGAAAATAAACAAAGCTTTATGCTATTGCTGCCTCTTTGTCTTTGAGATATCAATTACATATATTTTGAAACCCTCAAAACTTGAATATTGCTTTTATCTGTTGGATTCTGCTTAACATGCAGGAGGGTGTGCGCTTACTGTACAAATTGCCACTTCCTAGACATTTAAATGTGAAATTAAATGTACATGTGTTTATATTTTTGAGTGACAAACCCTATATTTCTTTCATGTTGAGTTTTCTGTTTTGTTTAGTCGGCAGGCGATTTAGTCCTCAGTGATAAAAAACAGACAGCTGACGGATTCATTAAAATACAAGCCTCTAATTAGAAAAGCTAGCTCTTCTTGTCACTCACTGAAGACTCTGTTGTTAGTGCTGCTCGTACGAAAAACTGAGGCCTTATCTGCCATTCACAGAGGACTCTGTAGACAGATAATATATCCAGTAGCTATTGCAGATACATGTATTCTTCTGGTACCTTATTTGCTGTCAATCACAGCTGCTCATCATTACAGCCGACAAATCTGTCTGCAGCCCTGAACATTTCTGTACACGGGGGGCAGAATACATATCTAATGTTGTTTGGATTTTTGTAGGAGTATGACAATCTGAATAATACAACCCGTAGGAAAAACCATCACTGTCATTCACACTGCACTATCTCCGGTCTGGATTAACCTTTGTGTGTGTGCTAGGCAGACACAGCAGTAAGTTGGACAGACAGACACACTCAGCACAGGTCACAGCTTGTTTTATTTTGAATTCAAACCAAGAGAAGAGGGGACAGGGATGCACACTGATAAATTACACCAGGTATCGCTACATATCAACTAACAACATCACAATATCTCGTAAAAGCGCTCTTGACAACAGATCCAACATTACAAAATGAAAAATAACAGAACAGGAAGAAAACCTGGCCGCAGATAAAGCCCATCCATAAACAGAACAAAAACACAGCGGTAATAACAGTGTGGCAGGAGACCGGGATATGCACTGTATTTATTTTCCCGTCTGCAACATTTTGTTAAATGAACCTACAAGACTGAAGCAATAGGCTATGTAAGTAACTTGCAGAAACCAACTGTAGGTCTGTAAAAAACCAAAAGGAAAAACCTCCTAATAAAAGCTACTACAAGGCATACACACAAAAACTAGCCTGAGCGCTCAGTTTTATTTACAGAGATTTCAGGATATAGCACAGCACATTGAAATGTTACTGTATAAGAGCCACCAAACAGCCATGATGGGGAAACAAATGTTATTCAATCAACACACAATGTGTTGCGGTTGTTGAAATTGCCGTTAAACCTTAGACAATACAGCGGAAATGTTGAAAAATGTGTTACAGAAATACAAGACCATACTGACATTTTTTTATTTCGAATATGGAGTTATCTGTGTGTGTGATGTGTTTGTCAAATGTGCCTGAGGTTACGCAGTTTGGATAAGAAAGGCAGGAAAGAACAAGGGCTGTGAATGAATATACAATAACTACAGTATACACACTTAACGAAAAAAAAAAAGGACTCAGCGAGCGTGAAATTCCATATTGACTTGTTCCTATGTACAAAGATAATCACATACAAATCATCCATACATTACAGTAGAAAATAAATATATCAAGACAATCAATCAATAAATAATAAGTTGGAGAGAGGGACTAAAAACATGGTAACAAGGTGTGTGTGTGTGTGTGTGTGTGTGTGTGTGTGTGTGTGTGTGTGTGTGTGTGTGTGTGTGTGTGTGTGTGTGTGTGTGTGTGTGTGTGTGTGTGTGTGTGTGTGTGTGTGTGTGTGTGTGTGTGTGTGTGTGTGTGTGTGTGTGTGTGTGTGTGTGTGTGTGTGTGTGTGTCAGCAGACAATGATAATCCCAATATAGCAAAGGTTTAATGGGAAACAAAGAGAATCAGAATATGACCTAGCATGTGCTCATGGTTTTTTAATGTCTGCATGCATGTTGTCACCCTATATATTCGCTATATATGTAGCTGTTATGGATGTGTACGTCTCTATATTTTTAACTTGTCACCTACATGTTTGTGTGTGTGTTTCTGTGTCTACATCTTCCGGTGTTTCTTCATGTCTGCATGAACACCCTCAAATGACGGCTAACTTAGTGGCCCTCGCTGCCTGGGGGCTTTGGGTCGGGCTGCTGCCCTGCGGCCCCTCCAGGCAGCCAGGGGGAGACAGAGTGTGAGGTCGTCTGCTTGGCCATGCTGTAGTGGCTGATCACTGTGTAGAAACGGCCCCTCGAGTTGGCATCCTGGGCGGCGTAGTACGCCTCCAGAGAGGCTGGGATACACCGCTTGTGCTGTGAGGGAGAAACAGTGAGGTTCAGAACATTTATCAATTACTTTTTGTTCAAGTGCTACATGTAGTTATCAAGGTGGGACAATATACTGTAACCAAAGTCTGTTGTCAAAAAAAATGTTTTTACCAAGTATATTTACATGAATGGAATCAGATCAAATATAACAGTTCTTACTTGTTATTGAGGTATCCTCTACTCCAGGGGTGTCAAACTCAATTTCATCGCGGGCCACATTAGCATTATGGTTGCACTCAAAGGGCCGGTTGTAACTATATAAATATACATATATAAATAAAATAATGTATTATATTACATTATTGCCTCTGAATTGGATTATTATCGGATAGGGTAATAACTAACTACGTGTGAAAGCAGAAGTCCAGGGCAAATAATTGCAAGTCTCTTCAGTGCGCATGTCAGAAAACGAGATGCATTGTGGGACATGTAGTTTATGGGCAACCTGCTTCTGTAAAGTGGCATGTAACCGTATTATAAACGTATTATATTCTTTGCAAGCTCTTGCGGGCCACATAAAATGAAGTCGCGGGCCGGATTTGACCCCCGGGCCTTGAGTTTGACACCCCTGCTCTACTCAGTCAGAGAACATTCTAACTCTCAGTGAAATGCCTCACTTTTTTATGGAAAAATGTACACTTACATTTATAGAAATATAAAATGAGTGCTATACTTGGCATTACTCAGTAATGTTAAAATATAATGATATGATCTTTATAAAAAAAAAACATGCCTCAAAAAGCTAATATCTATGTCTAAACAACTCTTGTTTATACCTAGCTTACAAAATATACTGTGTGGTTCCCAGTAGGCCAAAACTAAACAAAAATGTCTCACGAGAATTTTTTATGAGGAAAATTAATATATATGTTTTTGAGGGAATAGGGAAGAGAGAGAAGAAACCATTACATTAACATAACTGAATTCATTAGCACCCTGTATATGTTGAGGGGATACACAGGCCATTCAACTGTAATGTAGTGTGTAAATTATTGTATTTTGAGTCTGTAGAGAATTGTAAGTTGCTACACGCATGTGACACTGCTAATAATACCTCAGCAGACTGCAGGCAGAGCCCCTGCAGGGACAGTAACTAGATTTATTCTACCTTAAGATTTGTCCAGAGATGCATACAGTACTTCCAAGGTGACCTCTCACAAAGTACAGAGACACTTGTGTTTTAGGTGCAGTGCAGGAGAAAGAGGAGAGGAAACAAGAGGAGAGTTAAACCTTTCTAGACTAATACTATGCATATCTAGACAGCAGATTGTTGGATAAGGATGGCTGTATAAGCCGTTATCTTTTACGGCCCCAGCCATATCAATTGGGGGTTGGTGACCATAATGTGGTAATTATTGTCAAATAGGCAGTTCCCCTAAAATGGACATGGCTAATTACATTTGGCTTCTGAATGAAAGCAGTAAAGCCTAAAATAACATGAGATTTTACTTGTCATAAAAAAAACACTGATACCATTGATTGAATGATTGAGTGCCTGTATGGTGAGCCGGTTAGCATTTTCATGTTACTGTACATGACCTCAAAAATGAGCAAAAATAGGGCTGTACGGTTTTTTTCAGCTTTATTTTTGAACTTGTTTTGAAAAATAAAAACATTTCAATTTCTTCGAGGCCATTTTAAGAAATACCCTTTACTCATTTTGAGGACCTTGATATAACCCTCAAAGGATGTGTTGCTACTACCGCCAGGCTGAAAAACATCAACAAAGCAGAAATTGATCCTGGCTTTCTCCAAAGGTAACAACATCTGCTTAAGCACTTCTAAAGCTCACTAGTAACCACTTTATATCTAGTTGTCCTTTTTTGGATTTTTGGAAAAAACAGTTATCTGATGATGTTCCCTTGGAGTGTTGGACATTTTGAAGGACATTTCTAGCTATTGAGGATTTTTGTATGGAGTAATCATATCAATCATCTGATTTAAAAAATGTATTAAAATAGTGATTATTTGCAGCTTTACTTATCTCATCCTGTGGAAGCTACTTTACTACCCAGCTGCCCTGTTAACAACCGGTCTGTCTCTGGGCTGTGAATAGATGTGTTGTAAAGCTGTAATGAAATGTGTGCCACTTATGGTTCTTACCTTGTAAATGAATCCATCTGGGCAGGCGTGGTCATAAGTGAAGGCTTTATAAACCACCAGGAACACGATGCAGGCGAGGAAGGCCAGGGCCAGGATGATCAGAATCGTCACCTGAGGGCAGGACAAAATCCGGTCAGTGTGTGTGCCAGAGCCATAAAGCAGGGTTGTGAGTGTGTGGTTTATATATGTGGGGCAGGGTTAGTACTAGACAGTGAGAAAGATGGAGTATCTGCACCAGTGTGTGTGATTGTGTGTGTGTGTGTGTAGCCATAATAAATGGCACAGTAGGACACTGCTGAGTGAAGTGAATGGCTCCTCAAGGCAAGGTGTTCCTGTTGAGCTTCGTGATGGATGGGTCAGGTTGTGACACTGTACCAGGACCTGTGCCTTTTAGCATTGCCAATTTGTCACAGGCAAGGCAAAGCAGGCTTATTTATATAGAACAGTTTAACAACATGGCAATTCAGAGTGCTTTATAGGAAGCATTAAAAGCATCAGGAAAAATGTGCGAAAGAAACACATTTTAAATTACAATTCAAAACAGTCACTAAAGAGCCAAGAGAAATTAAAACAAGCTTGTATACAGTATATTAAGACAGGTGTAAATACAAGAATACATGTTTAAGAAAGGCATAATTGTTTGTTTGATTGAATGAAAGGCAGAGGCAAATGGCAAGGTTATTGGCTATAATGAGACTTGCAGCAGACATTTTCTCTGGGAGTTTGTTCCAGATATATAGATATATATAGGACATTTACTCTGGGGACAGAAAGCAGACCTGTTCTGAATTTATAATATAATATAGAAGATACTTTGACTACCAAACCATTCAGTGCTTTATCAACCACTAGTAGTATTATGCAGTATTATTACATGAAGCCAGGGAAGTAACATCAGAACTAAAGTGATGTGATCCACTTTTTAATGTTTTCATTATTCGAAAAGCAATGGTGTGACTTACAAAATGACCAATGTCTGTTCTGCAGCACACCATGACTGAATCAGCATGCACAACACCAGCCTGAAACTAGAGCAGATCCACAGGATTCAGCCATCTTCAAGTCCATTATTTAGTCTTGCTCTGTTCCTACTGTGACATGTTCAAATGTATTCAGTGAAACAGGCCTATTGCAAATATGAACTTATAATTAGGTTTCTTGAATAAATAATGGTTTAATTAATATGCAAGAAAAGTTCTCATAAGTTCCCTCCTCATTAAATTACAAATGTTCTGCAAAAGTGAAAGATCAAAGCGCACTAAAGCTACATGTATAGGAGAGTTGTCTCAGCTTACACTAAATCTTCCTGTAATCCTAAAAGATATCACCTCCTGTTATGCAGATGGTGACGTTTTTTTCACATGATGTGAGCTTAACATAAAGGACTTCATTATGACAAGATGTCTAATATAGAGTCCTATTAAACTAGGACTAGGACATAATTCATTTGTGCTTCAAGTTTGACTAATATCACTTGCAACCTTAAGGTACTATGATTAGGATTTGTCTGATGTAAAGCAACCAAACATTCAAAAACTGAAATTTGCCCTGCCTTTCGTCTTGCTATATTTGCATTTTGTTGGCGCCGTTTCCTTTTCCGTAGCTCTTTCTTGGATGTGTTTATACGATCTATATCTGGTAACTGCATTTTTATCTCAAGTTGAAGCCCAAAAACGTCCAGAAAATATCCGAACATACAGGCAGGGGATGATGTCTCTACAAAAACATACTGATAGATTTAGTGGGTCAGAAGAGATGGTTATTTTTGTATTAGTCCATACACAATTTTTAGGGAAATCATATTTATTGTGCCTTTTTTAAATGTTTTGCATATACAAACAGGATATAAAGAGCAATTTGCCATTTTGTTCAAGGACTTCATCATTATTATTGAGTTTTATTCGAAGCAAATTGCTAATAAAAACCACCAAATGTATACAAACACTTTAACGTGAGGGTTTGCTCTCATGAAAGGCACAACGCCATTGCATCAAACATCAACATGATTATACTTATTTTGATTGGCATTATCTTTTTTTCAAGGTTATTCAATATAGTATATAGATGTTAATTCAGCCCAGCCCTCGATGACAACCCACATTGACTTTGGTGTTAATGATTGTGAGGGAGAAAAATGTATTGATTTTCAGTTGTTGTGTATCTTTTTTTAATTAGCATCCTTCCTCCCATAAAACCTTTGCCGAGATAAATCTTTCAACTTCCAGCTGAACACGGTGAGAAGCATAAAACGTTATTGTCCTGTAAATACGTTGAAGAAACTGTATTTGTTAAACCACAGGAAGCTATGAGGTGTAAAATCTGGAACAAAATTACATTTTCTGGTCCATCTTGACAGCAATGAACAAAAATATTATTAGCACTCGCTTAGACAGAGTCAAAATAGTGTGAGAAATGCTTAATAGCAACTCAAAAAGCAGAGCTAATTTAAAGTGAATCAAATGAAATTACACATTTGTCTTTCTGCCTACTGATGCAAATACAAAATGCCTCTCTGTAATGTTAGGTGTAAAACATTCATTTCCCTGGCAGGCTAGACAATGTCGAAGTAAAGCAGATTAACATATAAAAGGATTTATTTCCTCCTACTTTCTACTTGACATCCTGATTGGGTGCTTCTGAGCGAGCACTTAATTAGAATTATGCAAATCAAGAGCATTGCATAGCTATGTTTAAAAATTATATTTTCCGCCATGTCACAAATTTCAAATGTGTGGTCCATGCATATGCTTTTGTCGGCATTTGTCTGCATTCCCTGCATGTCCAAGATAAATAGCTGCCTTTAAAAAGTCAGACTTATCCCAGTGAGTGAGTCGACAATATAATACAAGCTTCCATTATGGTCGGATGCCCCTAATTTCCTGTGTCCATTTTGAAACTGGCGTTAAGCCATTCTCGATGTTCTGCTCTCTATGTGATCTGTCACTGTGATATGTCAGAGCAATTACACATGGGTGTGATCATTAGTCTCCATCAGCGTTATGGGGGTGGACAGGGACACGCTAACTAAGTGGCTGTTTACTTGGTGTCAACGGGGGGACAAGACTCTGAGGCTTCATGCTACTGATACTCCTTTTAAATTACATCTCACATCACACACTGAGGAACATTTAAAGGACGCATTTAAAGTCATGGTGACCTGCCTTTGAGAGCAGAAACAGACGTGGAATGACTGATTAAGACCCACCCTGACCCCTTTTTTTGATGCACTTGAAAACAGCTTATTAAGGAGAGGGATTACTTTAAAGCTCCTCATATCACACAGCAAGCAATCAGCGCTTTATGCATGTGGAGACCCAACTTTGTGTAGACACTTTAAAAAATGAAAAGAAGACTTGTGTTTCTAAAGACAGAACATACTTTCTCTTTCGCACCACTGAAACTAAGGAAATTACAAATGCATGATTTTGAATTATTAGTCTGTGCTGCCCACCCATCTGAAACATACAGCTGATTATTTATTGAATCAAACCGCTTCCTGCAGAATATATGATCTGACACTCTTAAATTATGCTTGAAATCAAACCAGATACATGAAACAGATTAGTGGTATCAACTCTTGCATAGCTTATGTTAAAGTTTGCTGACACTTTTATTGTAGATTCAACACAGAAGTCGGAGCAACAGTTCAGTCAATAACCCCGCCCTTTGTAATAGAAACAATCGCTACAGTGTCTCTGTTGATGCAGCTGCAGCCATGTGGTGTATGAATCCATTAAAAATATATCCTGACCTTTCTCCATTATTCATAATCTGGCTGAACTCTGCAGTAAACCTCAGGAGGTCGTCAGGGTAACGCTACAGCTCAGGGATGAAGACTGCCCCCGTGAATGAAGTGGATTCATACATTTATCGGACTGGACTGATGCAATATTCCTCCATGATAAGATAATGCTTTTATACTTCTGATAACGGCTGAATCTGGGCCAAGGGTGCGGCCACATTACTATTGAATAGGAGAGAACAAAATACAGTAGAATCAAATGCCAAAGAAAATCCTTCTTTTGGTCAATACACCATTATGATATATCCCAGCAGCTTCTCCCAACCACATCAACATCATCCTGTTTTCTGTTGAACGCAGTAGACAGGGCTGTTTTGTCATTAGCGCTCCAGTATATGACATCGTAGAAACACTATCACCACCAACACACGCATCATCCTGTTTGCTGTGCCACACAGATAACAGAGAGACATTTGTTTCTCTTGGATGCAAGTGGAAACAAAGCATGCTGTTATAGTTTGGACTGAATTGGCTGCATCAGTAAAGATAGGATTGACTGCATGGCATGTGACTGGGCCCACTGGGCTTTAGTTGTTTAACCTCATCCACCCAGGGCCGTTGGAAAGATGATCATGTTTATATTCAAATATTAATTTGACCAGCTTCCTAGTACTCCTGTTAATTCACACTGTTTGCCCCATGATACTGGATATGGTACATCAACACTTCAGACCAAAATGAACACTAGACACCCAAATAAAGAAAGTGTAATCAAACTATTCCTGTTGCGTTTTGCTTCTTATTTGGATTTTCTATCTAGGAAAGTCAAACTTGAATAGTGACACCATTTTCATATGAAAAGCATAACAACAAGTTACAGTCAAAATAAAAAAGATCCCTTTAAAATTAGTGATCACTATTTGGGTTAAGCCAAAAAAGCACCAAAAGAAATCCTTAAGACCCAATTTCTTTCTTACATATAGTCAAAACACTAAAAATGTTTAATTAAAGTATGCAAACTTCCTATACATTGAAACTCAGAAGTCAAATTGGCAGTAATATTATACTAAATATCCTTGATGAAATAAAAAGTAGCTAATCTTGTCAATTAACTGGCAGACAATTGGTATCATTGCTTCAAAACAAACATTCAAATGTCAACATTTTTATATTTTTCTGTCATTATACTTTATCATCACACATTTTCATGCACGTATTCTCCCATTCCTTTGTTATGCATCAGAGTGTTCAGCTGTAGACGATTGCGTATTATGGAAAAAGACAAACACTCAAACCAGATTAGAAAAGATCCAGTAGGATTGTTTCCCTCATCAGAAGATTAAGCATTGTTTATGTTTACCCACATCTT